CTCAAATATTCCATAAATTGTATGTAAATAAAAAGAGAGTTTTATAAAATAAATAATAAAACAAAAGCACAAAATATTATATATACAAATTGCAATTATTATTAATTTTAAAATGTAATTGTTCGGTTTTACCAAATACATTCATGAGCTTTATTCTTTAATACATTATAACAACATTAAAGCAATATGTGCATTAATATTATAACTAATAATGACTATGTTTTTATTAAATTAGAGTCCTTTTTTCTTTAATATTAATTAAAAAAATATCTTCTAAAGATTTTTTAGCACGTGTGTTGTCTAGAATAATTGTCCTTATATGTATGAGTGCCAAGAGATAAACCTCTTCTGTTTGTTTAAACCGCTATTTGAATTTTTGAAACAAAAACAACAAAAAATAAACGAGCTTATTGTCGTCGGACGAGGACCAAAGTGAAGACAGAGAATGCTAATGCAACAATAATGAGATGCAATATCGAAGAATTCCGTGTTAGCCATGAACAAGATCATCAACGCGAGATGCTAGGAGTGGCAATTAAAAACATTTGTCGTTTTAGTCAAAGATATATTTATACACAAAAAAAAAAATAAATTCCTGATTCACGTATACTTCTATTCTTAAATATTATTTACTTTTATTTAAGTATAAAATGTTCTGTTTAATTATAAATATTTACTGGCATCAATAATAAATAAATTTATGCAAAGTATATTTATTCTTAAATATTATTTATTCTTAAAATTATATTTTTGTTTCTAAAATTATTATATGGTTTTAACAAACTTAATCGCATTATTTACAAACTATTTATTCTTGGATTAAGAATTATAAATTTGAAAATTCGCCGGCAGGCGGCAACGATGTGTATAAGTGCTCCTCAGTAATGTCAAGATGTTGGAAGTGCATTGATGAATGACGATTGACGTTTTGTGAGTAAACTATTGCATTTGTGGAACATACCTTTAAATGTGGTAAATTCAATTTTTAAGAGTGGATGAAATATTCAGTTCGTCCTAATATTTTTGTCAGTTATATTGCAAATGGGGATGCGCGAATAGTTGGCCGACTTTATCACTACGACGTGACGCCTATATACGCGGGCGGATCCGCGGATTTACTATCCAAAGTTAAATTGGTGAAATGAGCAATGAATTCGTCGCGGCGAATCCGCCTGTATATGCAGCCAGCGTCTACCATTGTGAGGTTGACCATCTGTTTGCATTCTTATTTGTAATATGGCTGGAGGTTGGTAGAACGATCTCAGCATTTCACTTGCCTTTGAACTACATTAATAGAGCTACATTAATAGCGAGTATAATCCAAGTTTAATTCAGTTTTTCCTTGGGAGCTTGTACTCCGTGCACATTAAGAGGCATGCTTTATAAATGTGGCACTTCATTTTCAGTAACAAAGCTATTGTTACTTACTACAGCATTGGTTTCTGTCATCTTGATGTTACTAAAAAGCATACTGGGGGTTTGGAATAAGTTGAACAAAAGGTTTCATTGAAGAAAAAATAATGCTAATATAAGCATATTTAATGTTGAACGAGTGTAACTTTATTCTTTTATTGAAATACAATTTATTTTAAATTAAGAATAAAATTTATTTTATTTTACGAATAATTTATTGTTAATCGGAAATTGTTTATTCTTGGTGCTATTCTAAGCATAAAATATTCTTGGATTAAAACATTTATGCATTTCTTTAAGAATTCATTTTTTTGTGTGTAAGATTGTATGTATTGAAAAAAAGTATAAAAATTATTTTGAACTTACGTGTACATTGATGTACCAATATACGTACAAGAACATCGAAACGCGGTAAACGGGGTGTGCAAAGCAGAACAGCGCTATTTTTTTTTAGAGGCGCTTAATCGTCTCAAAATTGAAATACATTTTTTCAATAAATTGCGAAATACATAAAAGTCATGAATTATTGACTATGTAATACTATGGATCAACTAGATGTAATAGTTGTTCGAATCAAATAATTGTATTTAGAAATGTTTTTCATCTATTCAAATAAATGCTAATAAAAATGTTGTGTGTTTTTTATATAAGTTCTTTATTTACCACACATTTTATTGTAAACCTAAATTATTGCGTTAACTTTTTTTACTTTATAAAACATTTTCTTTCTGATATAATTGCCATAAAAGATACTGTATAAAATCATTAAATATTATATATTGATATACGCATGTACATATATATGCGTAAATATTAAACACATGATAATACATAAAATTTTATTAATAAATTTTTAATTAAATTTTTATATATATTTCACACACTCGTGCACATGTATGTTGCACGAACACTAAATTAAATATACAAGGAACGCGGAATAACCTGCCTCTGTACATATTTCTCGTATAAATTACTGTAACTAGATATATGGAGATAATAGTAATTATGTAGATCTTAAAATTTAATTAATTTTTAAGCTTATGTTTATCGAGACATTTACCAGTGCAAAACGTTGCTACTGTTATCGTTTTCATCATTGTCAAACTTTCAAAATGTGTGTGCACGCGGTGTATGCGTGTGCGTGCGTGCGCGCGCGCGCGCGCGTGTGTGTGTGTGTGTGTGTGTGTATTCCCAATTTATAATACAATGAACCTAACTGACAAGGAAATAGAATCGACCGATCTTTTACGATTTTAATATGCCTCAAATAACTTATAAACAGAAATAAAAGTTACAATTTTTTTTAATAACAAACAACTTTCATTTTCTGGTTTTTGTAATTTAATGAACTCATTATTATTATCACTATTACTATAAATTATAAAAGCTATTATCATAGTTGCTCTACTAATCCATCAAGGTATTACGTACATATTGATGGACTGTATTATATTTGCCTTTTATAAAAACAAAAATTAAATATTCATTCTACACTGAAAACAACGACATATAGAGTAGGATTGGATATTATGAATTGGATAAGCAGGTACGTTATTTTTTTATTTCTTAAATTTTTTTCCCTAACTCAGTGCTGAGATTTACTTACACATTTCGATCGATTTTCAGCTTGGTTTGATCCTGCCCTTTACTCTATCAACCTGCTTAAATAGCCGATTGGCTCGTATTCTTTTTCCCATGAAAAAAGAGTGCACTCACTGACTAAAAAGTTACATTTTTTTTAATGGGTTTTGGAATACAATCTGCTCATCGAGCGATTGGTTCTTACTTATGGATCCGTAAGTAAAGACCAATCGCTTAGTGAGTAAGCTGCATTCCGGAAATCATAGAAAAACGTCTATTGCAATCTTTTAGTCGGCAAGTGTACTCTTTTTTCAAGCGTTGGGGCGAATTTTCAATGTGTACTTTTTTTTGTACTACTTTTGGGACTTGGAAGCTAGCGAGGGGATCGGGAATTATTATATTAAGTCACTGTCACACATGTTGATGGAACGAATTCGGCACTCCCAGTTCACCAATGCGAGAACTCCGTACTTATCAATAACGTAGTTCGTCAACTAATCGATTTCTAATGACAATTAGGCTCGCGAAGAACTCGTATTTATACTTGCGAGGACGATATGTCCTTCTTTGTTTTTGGCAGTCGGTTATTGACTTAGCGTCTTCTAGAAATTGGATACTTAGAGGAATCTGATTGGTGGAGTAGATTGGTAGTCTCATCCAGGTTCGGATGCGCGCGCGCGCGCGCGCACACACACACACACACACACACACACACACACACACGAGCAGTATTAAATATTGATAAACAAAGATTTTTTGTAAAAGATTTATTAGTTCTAAAAATTAGAAAAAGATGAAGAGTAAGTTGAATCGAGATAAAAATCTACATGATGGAAACGAGCATTAAAAGTGCTTAATCACTGTTGTACCATCTAGCTAGTCAACTGTGTCTTCTCTCTAATAAATAGTTAATTGACCACCTCACATGAAAATATGGATAAAGGAAGAAGGATGTATAGACATGCATGGACATATTTCGAATATAATTGTATAGAGGAAAGGCCTATTATGAGATACCGAGTTCATTTTGGGTAAATGCTAGAAATCTATAGGCAAAATTTAAAAAAATAATAGATCATTTTGAAGGGAATTTAATAAGCTTTAAGATAACGTTAGATAAAATTTAATTCAAATTCTATTTTTTTTTTTAAATTACAGAAATATGAGCAAATCGCAAAGTCAAAAAATTGTGCTCCTAATATGAGATGCCCCGAGAAATCGACAGTAAAACGCAAAGTATATCAGTATTGCAATTAAAAAACTTTATTTAATATTTCTAAAATACAAACAAACACACAGCCAGCGTGCGCAAAAAATGAGCATGCGATAGATTGTAAGTTGGGCCTAACAAGTACCCTAATAATGTATAAAAAAAATTACACAAATGCTTTTATAATGTCTTAACTTTTTTCATGACAATTTGATAAAATGCGGGTATCCGAATATTCACGAGTGGTAGCAAATATATAATATAAATACACAATATTCACTAGAGCGATAAAAAAATGACTGTTTTTAAAAGTTTAGCAACGGTAATTTTATACTATAATTTTCGTACAAATTTCAAAAACCGATAAGATACAACATTCCTTTATAAAGAAGTTCGTAAGAAGTCAAACGCACTGCAAAATATTTCAATCGCCAATTGCTTTACTCGAAGAAATACCACTTCACAGAAACTTAGTATTTTCTGACTATAAAGCTCTTGCTTGACGTACAGTGACCATGAAAGCATTCTACGTATTTTTGTTCTTGGCCCTCATTGGAATGGTTTTTTCAAAAGATGTATGTATAAATTGATATATCGTAATAGTACCACAAATTGATACACAATAATTTCATAAAAATTTTTATTACAAGCAGTATTTAT